ACTCTCACCTCATGATAAGACGGAGGTTTCATTCCTGGACCATGTTGGCCAATAGCTTCAACAACTGGTGCAAAACTATCATAATTAAGGGCATTGAATGATATCCCGGCATCATACATCCATCTTGCAAGCACTGTTAATTGTTGTTAGCTTACCCTTGTCATTTTTTCTATTTTGCACAGCCACTTCCGGAGGAGGGGTGAAGTACAAATCAATAGGACCTTTCTGCTTCTGCTTTTTTGATTGAATATTATTGCTTCCAGTTCCACTTGCCACTCTTTTACCCTTAACATCAACAATTGCAACATCATCCTCATCTTGATCATCCATGTCATCAAAATCCGGCAACAAATTTGTGTATTCCTTTTCTTCTTTCTTCTTGCTCATGTATTCTCTAATCTCCTCTTTCACATGTTCAGGGCATTTTTTACATGCTTATACATTTCTATGTCCTCCTACAATGTGTTGCTTAGCCCTGTAAATACCCCCTTTCATAACTTTTTCACAAAAATTACATGTTGTTGCATTCCTATCTTGTGGGTTTTGCAGGTGACAATAATTCCAAGCTGGATCCTTTGACATTTTTTCGTATCTATTTAGTATTTACAATGAGAAATAGAATGGAGTCAATGGAGTGATGGACCAAGTTAAATTCAGCAAACAACATTCACACTTTCAGCAAACACCATTCAAAAAGATGCATTCAAAATTTAAATAATCCATGTAGCAAAATTCAGCAGAACACAACAGCAACAAAAAAAAAAAAAAAAGAGAGATAGACAGCCTTCAAAGAAGAAGGGAGAAAAAAATGAGAGAGAGATTATTGAAAGAAAAAGTCAGAGATTGAAAAAAAAAAAAGAAAAAAAGAAAGAAAATACGGTGGAGTAGATGAAGGAAAAAAAAATGAAGGCTAGAGAGAACAAAAACAGAGTCTGAAATTTTACAGCAATTAAGATGCAACAGACAACAAAAAAATAATAATTTTAAAAAGTCTTATTCTGTTCGGTATTTCTTTATTAAAGAGTGAGGTGGTGTACTGATTCTCCTATGGGTAATATAGCACCGCAAACTATGTTTGCTGAAGACTGATGATGATGAAGAGCGTACAGATTTACAGCTATAAGTTGAAAATGATGGAAAAAAATACAACGAGAAAAAAAATACAGGCCAGAGAGAACAAAAAATATATATATATATATATATATAGCAAGACAAGGGAGAGGAGTAGATGAAGAAAAAGAAAGAAGAAAAAAAAAACAGAGACCCACAAGAACAAAAACAGAGACGGAGAAAAAGATAGAAGAAAAAAAAAAAAAGACCCAGAAAAAGAAAGAGCTAAAAAAACACAAAACCAGATATATAGAGAGGAGGAAGAAAAAAAGAGACCCAGAAGAACAGAAACAGAGACGGAGAAAAAGAAAGAAGAAAAAAAAAAAATACAGAGACAGAGAAAAAGATAGAAGAAAAAAAATAAGAGACCTGAAAAAAAAAATATACCAGTCTACTAGAGACCCAGAAAAAGAAAGAAGAAAATCAGAGAAATAGAGAAGAAGAAAAAAAGAGAAAAAAAAAAAAAAGGGCGAGATATAGAGATTAGAGCAAATGAAGAGAGAGAGAGAAGAGGAGAACTGGAGAAGGAAAAAAAAAAAAAAAAAACAAAACTAACCTGTTAATTTGATAGACCCAGAAAAAGAAAGAAGAAAATCAGACAAATAGAGAAGAAGAAGAAAAAAAGAGAATAAAAAAAAAAAAAAAAAAAGGGCGAGATATAGAGATTAGAGCAAATGAAGAGAGAGAGAGAGAGAGAGAAGAGGAGAACTGGAGAAGGAAAAAAAAAAAAAACAAAACTGACTTGTTAATTTGATTGGGTGATTCCTGGCCAGACGGACTGGTAGCCCTCTCCTCTTCTCTTCTCTTCTCTTCTCTTTCTTTCTCTCTTCTCTTTCTCTTTCCCACTCCCACTCCCACACGTCTTTATTTCTGCTGTAGCCTTTGCTCTTTGACTGATTTGTTTTGTTGACTGTTGGGAGACATTGGGTTGCCAAGTCACAAGAAGACAACTTTTCTTTTGTACTTTAAGTTTCCATTTTGTACTCATTCGGTTTCCAAAAGCTGTAACTATATATATATATATATATATAATAATATAAACTAAACAAGCAAACACAAAGTATACGTAATACATCAAACAAATATATGAAGGAGCATAGAATATATGAAGCGCCTCTTAAACTATCCAAGGCGCAGCCCAGGCGCGCGCCTAGTGAAGGTCGCTGCGCCTGGGCTAGCATAAGGTGCGCCTGTAGGCGCCTTGCGCCTAGGTGCGCGCCCAGGCGCGCTTTTAATAACACTGGTATCAACAGAAGATGTTTGATGGATAATACCCCTCGACTCAAGAAACTTTTGAAAAATATTAAGTTTATATTCAAGGGTTATTGTCAGTTCTAAGAACAAGTAATTTTGCATCAAACTAATTTTGAATTTCAACATAAAAGGATTGAAGAACAGAGAATACTTGAGATCTATCTTTAAGAATATAAACCCAAGTTAAACGTGAATAATCATTAATAAATGACACAAAATAACGATCACCAAATAAACCAGTAGTACGAGCTGGTCCCAAACATCCGAATGTAATAACTCAAAAAGTTTTAAACTTTTATTGTCAAAATGAGACTTAAAAGTAGCTCGACGATGTTTACTAAGTTCGCAAGTAGTACATTAAACTTAGAAAAATTAACTAAAGAAGGGACCAAGGCTCGAAGACTATTTGAAGAGGGATGTCTAATGCGGCAATGCCACTAGTAATCTGAAGAGGAGGTGGAATGTATAGCCATCGGAGCAATAATTGGTTGGAAGTAGTAAAGACCATCCTTCTCAAACCCCCCGCTAATCGTCTTCTTCGTCTTAAGATCTTGAAAGACACAATAGTAAGGAGAAAAAGTAACTGAGCAATTTAAATCTGATATGATTTTACGAGCTAACAATAAATTGAATGAAAATTAAGGGATATATAAAACTGATGAAAAAGTGAGACCCGAAATGCGGAATGTACCAATTCCATGAATAGGTGATTTGACACCATTCGCTATAGTAACAACCGATGGTGAGAAAACATGAGAAATCTCAGAAAGGAGATAAGTTACCTGTCATGTGAACGGATGCCCTGAATCAATGATCTAAGGTGCAGAAGACGAAGCATGGAGACACATATTACCTAAAGTAACGATAGTAGCGGTGGAGGAGGGCTGATTTGCACGCTCACGCTTTACCTGAGAATCATACTCGGCTTTGGGGAGAACAATTTGTTTATTCGCACGAGTGGGAGTAGTCTCTTCCAAAACCGAAGCTTGATTAGCCCAAGTTGGCATGGCTGTCAACAAAGTGATTGTTTCGGCCACAATGAGTACACTTCTTGCCGCGACCCCCTTTGCCGCCACGAGTACTATGGCCTGGGTTGGAAGGACCTCAGCCCCCTTGTCCTCCACGGAAAGTATCATGTTGCTCAGTAGGAACAACAAGCGCAAAGTTGTTGTCCTTCTCAATTATAGGGGCATGAATAGATGCACTTTAAACTCGAGCAAAAGTCTCACTCGTTGTGGGTATCTCCTTACCAGACAAAATCTGCGAAGTGATCTGAGCGAGTTCGGGTTTAAGTCTAGATAAAAATTTTGCCACCCGAAACTCCTCCCTGTGCCCTTTTTGTTGTTCTATGTCTGTAGTTAATGGTTGGTAGACATTCAATTCTTCTCACACACCCTTCAGTTCTGAGTAATAATCTTCAACAAGACGATCTCCCTGCTAGAGATTAATAAATATCATGGTACAACTAATAAATACGAGAAATATTTTTCTCTGAAGAATACATGTCCCTGAGATTTTCCCCTAGGAATGACACGTTGAAGATCTCAGGCTCCAAGCTGTTCCATAACCAAGTCATAATCTGAGCATCTTCTTTCTCCCAAGCCTCAATAATCTTTTTATCACTGGTGGGTTTGGTTGGTTTAAGATGGGACAGTTTTCCTCGAGCCCATAAGAACACCTCTATGGCTCGAGACCATTGAAGGTAGTTCGAGCCTTTCAGTTTGGTGCTGGTGATTGACCCAAGAAGATGAGATTCCTTAGTATCCATAACAAGAGTTGCCGAACAAATGAGATATAGTAGTGATAGGGAGCCGAGATGAACCCGAGAGAAATTACTGAGGAGGGATCCGAGAGAGATTACTAAGACGAGAACTGAGATCACCGAGGAGAGAATGCCGAGAAGAGATTGCTGAGAGAAAGCCAAGATGGAATCAAGATTGGAGTCTGAATAAGACTGGAAAAAAAAAAAATAAAGAGGGATCGATTTCCGCTCTGATACCATGTTGAAAGAGAGAGAGAATATATGCAAATGTATATATTATTGAGTGAGTAATACAATAATACAATGGTGTTTATATAGGAGAAGCTACTGGAGTAGTTGAGACGAGAACAAGTAAACCTTATACATGGTAAGTCCATATATGGTAATGAGGGGTAGGAGAAGGCGGCTACAGAATACAAAAAATCCTAATATACAATGTAATCTAATTGTACACGTGTGACAACTCATACAATATTGTACAACACATATAATACTAGTAAGTCACACATAGGCAAAGCTACGACTTGTTTGAGTGGCCCGAGTGGGTGCAGTCAACAATTTATAACTAATAATTATTTTTACATAATTTGCAAAGATCACCATTGCAATACGTTGTCGTAACAGCACGGTTGCTTAAGGTTAATCTAGTCTAGAGCCTGTGCAAAGTCCATACGACTTATCAGGTCTGAATTATCTTTATTGTTCTATAAGAAATTCTTTTGTGGATCAAATACAAAATTACAGGGAAGAAAATGTTTTCTTTTTATTTTTCCTTCTTTTTTCCCTGTTTTGAATGCTTCTTAATGCTTAGAGATTTCTTAATACGTTGCACTGTCTTGCTTGCAGATTTACTGATCTATTTTGGTATTTGCAGGTCTGGTGTAAGGAATACCAATGTTTTACTTAGAGGTGCAGTTTTTCGGACATTTAGTATAAACTTTTTCACGTATGGTTTCCCGGTACATATTCTTAAACTACATATTGCATTTTTTTTATTGTGCTTCATGATGATTGTGGGATCTTGTGATATACATCGTTGCGCCCTCGTTTGAAATTTTAAACCTTTTGGGCAGGTAGTTGTCTACATGGTATAAGGGTGTTAAAGCTTTGGTTCTTGTAGATTTTGGGTTCAAGCTTCAGTTTCTACTTTGGTTTCCCTCATTTTGTAACAGCGAGCCCTACCCGACACAATACATCCCGGGAAGTTTAGTCCGGGGGAGCCAAAAGCGGACAATATTGTGTCATGTAGGGTGAGGGTTGTTACAAATGGTATCAGAGCCGAAACCTAGCTAGAAGTATGGCAAACGAGAATGTTGGGCCCCATGGGGGGTGATTGTGACGACCTCTGTGGTCGGGCGGGTGCAAGACACTGGGCGAGCTATCACACTGGCAGACTACGGGTGTCATGATCCAACATCGCCTTGGGAAGGTGAAGTGAAGTGCGATATGTAGGTTCAATACCCTTCTATGACACGTGTTTTAAAGCCGTGATAGCCGTAAACCCATCAGAACTCCGCAGTTAAGTGTGCTTATGCAGGAGTAGTAACAAGATGGGTGACCTCATGAGAAGTCTGGTCCGGGAGAGCCAAAAGCGGACAATATTGTGTTGGGTAGGGTGAGGGCTGTTACACATTCTATGGTCGGCAACACTCAGTCTGTCTGTTTGTCTCTCCACGCATGAGAGGTTGGTAGCATGTCAGGGTGGGTGTGAGGGCTTGTTGTACATTGTTGGGAATAGAGATCTGATTCCTTGAAGAACTGGAAATAGAATCAATAGAGTTGTAGATCCAATCAAGATCCACCAATAATCTCATAAGATCCAAGAGCAAATAACAAATGTAGGTAAGTTTTAACCTAAACAAAGTGAGAAATGAGAAAGAAGTTTTATGGATTCTAAGTAGATCTTGAAGATTATAAGTTTTGGTAGTAGATCTACGATTATAGTCTACTTTGGGAGATTTTGGAAGCTGAAATTGTGGAAAGGAAGTGGGAAAAGGAAGAAAAATAAGGTCTAAAACATTCATAGTACATAACTGCCTGTTGCGTAGTGGTATTAGTTTGCTACAGACTGTTTTGTAACATTCATGAATTTAATTATGATCGATGTAACAGCTTGTAATGGTACTTTCAGGTGGAAATACTGTTATGTAATGGTGGTTATGTTATTTAAGACCTTATTTTAGAATGAGACTATATCAAGTACAGTTGGTGGTGTGAAGTGCCTGAAGTAGTGGACATAGCATGTGACACCAGGATGCAATTCAGGAGTATTAGAGTAGAAATATAAAAGAAATAAAAAGGGGAGAATTGTGTAAAGGCTTGAATGAGATATATTACTCATTCACAACTCTAGTATTTATAGATAAAAAGAGCACATGCTCATATTATAAGAAATGAAATTAAATCAAGTATAAATCAAATTAAAACATATTCAATTGCATATTCTATAGCATAATCAAATCTCTGCTAATATGGTAAGTCATTCCATAAATCGTGGCTATCATATCTACTAACACTCCCACTCAAGTTGGTGCGTGGATATCTGAGATGCCCAACTTGGACAATGCATCTTCAAACACGGTCTTGGTAGCACCCTTTTTCAGAATCTACAAGTTCCAGAGTGCAAAAATCTGACTAGCAATGATTTTCTCTCAAATGAAGTGCTAATCAATAAATAAAAAATGTCTCCTCAGACGATAAACAACCAATCATGTCTCCTCAGACCGTAAACAACCAACGATGTCTCCTCATACCATTTCCCTTCACATGTTTAAAACATGTAGATGGAAGAATCAACAATGTCTCCTCGAACAATTCCCTTTCATACATATGTTTAAACAATGTAGATGAAAGAATCAACAATGTCTCCTCAGACCATAAAAAAGAAACAACTATGTCTCCTCAGACCGTTTCTGAATGGGTGGTGCCAAACTCACAACGCCCTCATTGAGGTCAGACCACCCTGCCAACCCGACACCTCTTGGATGGGTGATGTCACCTTAGACCATTCCCGAATGAGTGGTGCCGAACTCGCAATGTTCTCATTGCAGTCGGACCACCTTGGCTTTGATACCAAATAGAAAGATAAAAAAAAAAATAAAAAAGGAGAGAATTGTGTAAAGGCTTGAATGAGATATATCACTCATTCACAACTCTAGTATTTATTGATAAAAAGAGCACATGATCATATTACAAGAAAGGAAATTAAATCAAATCTAAATTAAATCAAAACATATTCAATTGCATATTTGATAGCATAATCAAATCTCTGCTAATATGGTAAGTCATTCCATAAATCGTGGCTATCATAGCTGCTAACAATTAAGTTGGATGCTTAGCATGAAATTGCCTTTTCTAGTGCCCATAGTATACCTTGAGATATTATATTTCATGCTTCTGATCTATATAAGCAAGTTTGTCTGGCATCTGCTATCATAGAGAGGTACTTCTGATTGGTTCTCCCTGCTTAGGTAATCACAAAGAAAAAGCAGCTCTTTAAGAAGTTACGTTCTCCACTGTTTTACTGGGTTTAGTCTAATAAAAGTTTTAGTTGCAGCAAGGTTGTTAGATTCGGGATTCTACATAGGATTGATGAGGGGTCCATAGGATCGGAATCGTAGGATCGGATAGAATCGTAAGATTCTATAAAACTATTAGAAAAGTAACTCAAACTAACTTTCTAAATTATTTTCGATATAAGTAGAGAATAAGGCTAAAAATTCAAATTAGACACTCTAGCAAAATTAATTAACATTAAAAGATACTAAGATACATGACAAACACTTAAAATCAGTTTCTTGATTTCAACAAAAAATCAGCATAACAATCAAGCAAAATCTCGGGGATAAAATTAAAGTAAAGCCTAGTAGAGAGAGAAAAGTACAATTTAGTTGCCTAATTGTGAGCAATTTAATTGAAAAGTTATCTTTTTTGGTTAAAAAAAAGGAACAAAACAGAGATAGAGAGAACAACAGAAAAAAAAAAAAAAAAAAAAAAAAAATGATGTCTTTCTTTATTTTTTTTTTCAGAATTGGCAAAGAATAGGTGGAAAAATAAAATTCTTTAAAGAAAGAAGAAAAGAGAAATTAAGAAGAATAAAACAAAATAGAGGAAATTTTTGAAATTTTGAATCATACCTTTAAAATTCAGAGTTGATAGTCTCTACATTTGACGTTCGTTTCTTTGTTTTTGTTTTTTAAATTTTAACTTTTGAATGTAAATAGGCTAAAGAGTTAGACTTTATATTTAAATTGATTAAATTTACTAGTCCAAAATTAATTGTAGGCCCAAATAAATCCGGAAGAAGAAAAAAATAACATGATTTAATATAATTGGTAGGATTGTAAGATCTTATGCGATTCTACTTCCGATTTTACAGATCCTACTGAGATTCTACTACTCAGAGATTTTGGATGGGATCGGGATCGGTTTGTCATTTTGGGATCATAGAATCGTAAGATTCTAAGATCCATAATCGGGATTTTAACATCTACGAGTTGCAGTGGTCTAATAAACTCTCAATTAAACTTCCAGTGTCGTTACAGGTTCCCTTTTGCCACACCATGACCAACACTTGACCGCATCCAATACCATAACCTTCACTGCTCTTTGCAGTTTCTATGGCAATATGGCATCTATAATCATTGTCACCACAGTAGCCGCTGTTATTGCGAGTTTTGCCTATATTTTCTTTCAGGGAATTTTCTTAAAATGATTGACGTAGCTGTAGAATATCCATAATTTTCACTTGGACGAATTGAAAATATAATTTTCATTTATCATTCTTTATTGAACTTTATAAATTGTTTTGGTTAATTGATTACCTTTGTACTGCAAACTACAAGTTATATTAATTATTCATTTTGAAATTACTCATCCATTTTAACATAATAAATGATCCCTTTTTATAATACAATTCCAATTTCCAATCTTTTTAAAACAATTGTGTAACCGACAGGGGAGTGTTACAAAATTTGACAAAAAACTAGAAATAAAGAAACCTTAGAGAAATACAAAAATGACAAGAAGTTAAAAAGGTAATAACAGAAGAAAAGTATAGACCGTAGGATGATATTTACTCTAAATTAGGTACAAAGAAGGGGTGAAGGATATTGTAAATATGTCAACTTAAGGACATGAACTAGAGATTTCAATAATGTAACGTGCATCAAGGGTTAAAGATGATGGATTAGAGAAAGGTGAATAAGTTAGAAGCTGCTGAATGAATATTGTATAGGAAGTTTATGTTTAGATGATTATAGTAACCTTTAGGTAGATCAGAGGAAATAACACTTTTGTAGGATCAGGATGTGCAAGGTTAAAAATAAAAAAGAAGCAGCATTGAACTATATGGTACATGACAGGTATTAAAACCAGATAACATTGCTGTTGAGGTTTGGAAGTGTTTTGGTGATGATTCCATGCCTTGGGTAACAACATGATTGAATAAAACAATAATAACTAAGGAAATATCTTTTGAATGACGGACAATTATTTCAATACCTATATACAAGAACATGGGATTCAAAATTGTACAAAATCATTAGGGTATCAAATTAATGAGTCAATTATGAAACTTTGGGAGAAAGATGCCAAAGAATGCCCAAGGTGTGAAACTACTGTATCGGATAATCAATTTGGGTTTTTTCAGCAAAAAAGAAAGATCTCTATGTGGTTTTTCATAGTTTTGGAGAAATCCTATAATATTGTCTAGCCATTCTTTAACAATTAAGAAACAACATATTAAGAAGATGAGTGATATAGGACGTATAGTGTTGCGCTACCAACTTGATGCAAGACAGAAGGAAAGCAGGAGATGAGAGGACAGAAGAAGAGACGAGGCTAGAAGGAGGTGGGAAGACAGACGAAAGATAGGCTAGAGAGACTAAGGGATTTAGAATAGCAAGGGCAATCAGGGAGAAGAAAACAATCAGAGAGTTCTCAAACTCAAGATAATATTTCAATAAACAAAACTTGTTCTTCGTCAGTGAGCATTTCAGAAATGTGAATATTGACATGGATGTGTGTAAAGAAGACGAACACTGATAAAATCAGAAATAAACACATCTGATAGATGGTTTAAGTAACACTTATTGGAGTTAAAATATAACAAAATCTATTAAGTTGGTTTGGATATCCGGCAATGATCAATAATTGCACCAATTAGGAAGAGTAATATATTCCTTATTAAGGGTAATGTTATGGGAAGCAAGACCAGAATTAAGATGGGTTGAGAATTGAGATAGTTCACCCCCTGCTCCCGCACCTGCCACACACACTTCACCACACCACCCAAAACAAAAGTTGGGAAAAGGCTTTGTTGAGTGGACCCATTACTTTAGGTTTATTTTTTTATTCTTATACATTTTGATTTCTTTGATTTTATTTAATTCTTAACTGGCTCATATTTAAGACTTTTGGTGATGAACTTGACAGGTGTCCTTGCTTGCTCTTTCATTTTGGAGTTTCCATTTTGCAAGTATCTGCGCATTTGGATTACTTGCATATGTCGGTTACATTATATATGCTTTTCCATCCTTGTTCCATTTGCACCGGTTAAATGGACTGCTTCTTGTCTTCATTCTGTTGTGGGCAGCCAGCACATATATCTTCAATGTGGGTTTTTCATTTCTGAACTGGAAACTTGGGAAGGTAGTTCTCATTTTTAACATTGTCTTCCACTTATGTTTTAAGAAAACTCAGATGTCGCTCAGTCTTCTCTTGAATATATATGCAGGACATGGAAATTTGGCAGATGATTGGGTTGTGGCATTATCCTATTCCGGGATTTTTTTTGCTTGCTCAATTTTGTCTTGGGATTCTTGTTGCTCTTGGTAATCTTGTAAACAACACTGTCTTTCTCTACCTGTCTGATGAGGAAGGGCAATCTTCAAATGACAACTGTACTGTTGAAGGTAATTAGATTTTTATGATAACATTGTTAAAGTGATATCCAATTACACCGAGTAAAGAATGAAAAATGAATGCAAGGAAAGATCTACAAGAGAACGAACCTGGATTTACTTGGACCAGTGACTGGACTTAATTCAAATGTTTGGTTTCCTTCTGTTTGGGTTTTCGGTTTCTTAGTGCTAGATTATTCTTTCTTGGTGTAGATTTACTTGGATCAATGACTGTACTTCCTTACTGTTAGAATGTATTTGGCGTATTTTATATTTCTTGTGAGGGGATATTAGTCATTTTTTTGTAATATCAATTATCATATATATAAAAGAGAGAGTAGATCGGAAAAGCTAATCTCAGAAATTTCCCAAACTCTATCTTGGCTCTTTCCTTCTCTTTGAAATGTAATTTCAACACTTGCTAAATGCTTATTTTAAATGTTTGGTGTCCTTGTGTTTGGTTATTCAGTTATTCCTTTGCTTAGTACTCAAGTCATAGACCTATAATCTGGGTTGGGTCACAATGATCTTGTTTTCATTTGCTTTCTCTAGGGCTGTACCGTCTTATCAATAAAGTGAAAGCAAAATACAATTCATATTAATTACAAGGATTTTTTCACTGGTGCTTAATCTTACATGATAATGTTCTATTGTCGTGTTGTTCTTTATTTCAAAAGCATGCAATTCATTTGTTCAAATCTTACTTCCTTTTGGCCATTGACTACCATGAAAGGATCTTCTAGGGAATTCTCTCTTGTGTTATTCCTGTTCTGGGTATATATGTTATTATTTTTAGTTTTATCTTAATACACTACTTCCATCCATATGATTGTCTTCCTTTAATTGCAGTGAAAGAAGAGACCAAGGTATTGATTGTGGCTACAATAGCTTGGGGACTGCGCAAATGCTCTCGGGCAATCATGCTGGTTCTGATTTTCCTCATTGCCATGAAACCTGGTTTCGTTCATGCTGTATATAGTATGTCAATCAAAGCTATCTATTTATTCATTTATAAGTTGCATTCTTAACCACAATATTGCCCTTAGATGACTAATATATGCTATAAAGACATTGAACAACAAGCTTTTGATGACACATGATTCTACACCAATTGACTAACCAGTGCTAAATTCTGATCCGTGCTTCAGTGATATTCTTTTTGATGTATCTCTTGAGCCACAACATCAGCAAAAAGATACGCCAATTGCTGATTCTTCTATGTGAGGCTCATTTTGCAATACTGTACATTCTTCAGCTTAATTCAGTCTCTAGAACTTTGGAGCAAAAAGGCTCTTTGAGCATGGAAATTCTGTCTCAGTTAGGTATGCTTCATATTTATTTGTTTCACATTGAATTATTATCCTTTAAGAGAACATGGTTACGGTTTTGGGTTTTTTTTAATGGGAAAATGTTAATTTTATATTCTTGTATACAATCTTTTTTCAGTTTGATCTAAACTTTTTTATGTGAAAAATTTATTGATAATTTTTATATGTATTCATGCAGGTCTCCTTGACTGTGACAGTTCCTGGGATTTCTTGGAAATAGCTCTGCTTGCTTGCTTTTGTGCAGTTCATAACCATGGTTTCGAAATGCTCTTTTCATTTTCAGCAATTGTGCAGCACACCCCTTGCCCTCCCGTTGGATTCAGCATTTTGAAAGCTGGTCTGAACAAATCAGTTCTATTATCAGTTTATGCTTCATCAAGCACCAGAAACAGCCATGACGATGCTTCTTATGGTATAACTTTGTTCAAGGTTCAGTACATTTTGAATTGACTGCTCATCTTTTGTCTCTGACAATGGTAAAAAAATGTTAGAAATTTGTATCAGTTCCCTGATTTTTGTGGCGAATATACTTATTTCTTGCTCAGATTTTTGTTTAAGCATATAGATACTGTGAAATGTTCTGGGAGACATGGCTCTCATGCAAAGTTCAAGGACACCATTCATCAATTCCCTAGGATGATTATACTAGTTTGAAGTTAATTATTTGGATTTAAGACAAAGTAATCTGTTGCGTTCCCTAGGATGTATCAGAAGAGCATGGTGAATTGCCCCGACAAAAAAAAAAAAATCATTGCAGTTTAGGAGGTCTAACAGAAAATGGTGTTGAACTCTTTGCATGTGAGCTACATACCTCGACATCTGGCTTTGGGAGAACTAATTCCTCTACAATTTTACTATTTGTGTTCATGTTATTGTTGTTTGCACTAATCTTCTGTTTGGTTTTTTGTTTTTTCAGAGAGAAAGATAGCTTTATACCTCAGTGCAATAGGACAGAAATTTTTATCCATGTATCGGTCGTTTGGAACCTACATTGCTTTTTTGACTATTCTTGTTACGGTGTACCTAGTGAGACCAAATTACGTTTCATTTGGTTATCTTTTCCTTCTCCTTGTCTGGATCATTGGAAGACAACTTGTTGAGAAGACAAAGCGACGCCTATGGTTTCCATTACAAGCATATGCTATAATGGTGTTTATCTTCATCTATAGCTTGAGCATATTTCCCAGCTTTGAGATATGGCTGTCCCGAAAGATAGATCTTTATCCTGATTTGGGCTATAGAACTGATGCCTCATTGTTGGAAAATGCCTGGGAATCTCTTGCAATTATGATTGTAATGCAACTTTATAGCTATGAGAGGAGACAGAGCAGGCATATTAAATCAGACCATCCCATTCCATTTCGATCTGGCATACCTGGGTTTATCAGGCGGTTTCTGATTTGGCACAGTCAGAAGATTTTGTTAATTGCGTTATTCTATGCATCTTTATCTCCAATAAGTGTGTTTGGATTTTTGTATCTTCTTGGGCTTGTCATCTGTACAACTTTACCTAAAGCTTCTCGGATTCCTTCCAAGTCATTCTTGGTTTACACAGGATTTCTAGTGATAGCCGAGTACCTGTTTCAGATGTGGGGTAAACAAGCTGAGATGTTTCCTGGCCAGAAACATTATGATTTGTCCCTTATTTTGGGTTTCCATGTATTTAAGCCCAGCTTTTGGGGTCTAGAAGGCGGCCTGAGAGGGAAAGTTCTAGTGATTGCTGCATGTACCCTTCAATACAATGTCTTCCATTGGTTGGACAATATGCCAAGTACTCTTGTAAACGTAGGAAGTTGGGAGGAACCTTGCCCATTGTTCATCACAGCAGAAGATTTGTTACCAGTCGTTTCCACTTCTAATGGGGAAATTAACCCTTCATCTGATCCCAGTGCACTTTCTGCAAAACGAATGGTGACAAGCAATTCATGTCCATCTTTTTATTCTAGTCTGTTTCAATCATCTCATAGTGACTACTCTAAACGAGGGGGATCTGAGGGTACTAGCAATAGAAAATATTCGTTTGATTATATCTGGGGAAGCTCTAAGGAGAGCCATAAGTGGAACAAGAAACGAGTTCTTGCTTTGAGAAAAGAGAGATTTCAAACACAGAAGACTACCTTGAAAATATACTTGAAGTTCTGGGTGGAGAATATGTTCAACCTCTTTGGCCTTGAGATAAACATGATCACTTTGCTTCTTGCCAGTTTTGCTTTGTTGAACGCCTTCTCTATGCTATATATTGCATCTCTTGCTGCTTGTATTCTCTTGGATCGGCGTATTATACGTAACGTATGGCCAATATTTGTCTTCTTGTTTGGTTCTATTCTTGTCCTTGAATACTTTGCAATTTGGAAGAACGTGATGCCTTTGAATCAACATGTACCAAGTGAGAGCATTGTGCATTGCCATGATTGCTGGAAAAGCTCAAACACATACTTCCATTACTGCAGAAGCTGTTGGCTGGGTACTTTCTCTTAGAACTGTTAGAATTGTGGCTTAATTGACAATATATATTTTACATTGTATTACTTGAAACTTGGTTGACTTAATTTTTTTTACAATGCTGTTTTAGCTAGGGGTCATTGCCTATGCAATTGTAAAAGCTCAGACTGATTAGTGTGATAACGTGAGTTTGAGTAAGAGAGCAACTAATGTGCTCAAAAGGCTCAAAATGACACAAAAGTTAGGTCCATCTCCAGTCTTCCCTCCCAGCACACGCCTGTCATTTTATGCTGCTTTAGCTCTCAAAACGTCAATATATTGGTCAGAAACTGTAGTCATGTGCTGACTTGGCTGAATGCTCTTTTTAGTTAAATAGATACTAGAATTGATTTTTGTTATGACAAACGCAACAAACCCAAGTTGAATCAAGAATCATGACAGAAAAGTAAACACGCTACACAAAGAACACAAATATTTATACATGGTTCGGCAATAGTCTACATCCACGGTTGGGATCTGGCGAAAGTTTTCACTATGTGTAAAATCAGACATTATAAGTTTTCAGCCCCTCACTCTGTTTTTGTACGAATTTCAGAGTCTCTCTCTTCCTCCACTCCAAATCCTAAGCTCCCTTATATATCGGGCTACAAGAGAATAATTAGGGTCCACGACCCATGAGCAAAAAATGGATCAAAAATTTTCCCCAACGGGTCGTCGTGTCATAAGTGGGTCGCAACGTGACCCGGCACCAAATTTGGGCCACAATATCACAATTTATTTATTTATTTTTATAGTATTTTTATGATGAGTCATTACTCTACAAGTTTCCTCTTTGTGGTTGGGACTTCGCATGCTATAATTATAGGTATAGGATGTATAAGATTTTCTTATCTCCCATTTATTTCTGTCTTTTCTAGTAGCAGTAATAGTAGTTAGCTCTTACATTCCCTTTTAGCAGTTTGAAAAGCTTGTGGAGGGCTTTTTACAATGATTTCTTAAAGTTTACCTGGTGCTCACTTGACTTGGAGGCATCTGTGCAAGTCCAAATACTATGAAAACGTTCTGCCCCCCCTCCCATCCCCCCTTTTCAGAGCCTATTTTTTATCTGCTAACTCAAAGTTTATTCTACTTTGTCTTTATAGGATTTACCGTTGATGATCCTCGAATGCTTATCAGCTATTTTGTGGTCTTCATGCTCGCATGTTTCAAACTCCGTGCTGATCGTTTGTCCAGTTTCTCTGGGTCATTTACGTATCGCCAAATGATATCTCAACGCAAGAATGCGTTTGTTTGGAGAGATCTCTCTTTCGAAACAAAAAGCATGTGGACTTTTCTTGACTACCTAAGGCTTTACTGTTATTGTCATCTATTGGATCTTGTACTTGCTTTGGTTTTGATTACCGGAACCCTTGAGTATGACATTTTGCACCTTGGGTATCTTGGTTTTGCTCTGGTTTTCTTCCGTATCAGACTTGAAATTCTAAAGAAGAAGAACAAAATCTTCAAGTTCTTGCGCATTTACAACTTTGCTCTTATTGTTCTTTCTCTTGCCTATCAATCTCCCTTTGTGGGCGGCAATTTCAATGGGGGGAAGTGTGATACTTTTGACTACATATATGAGGTGATTGGATTTTATAAGTATGACTATGGATTTCGGATTACTTCGAGATCAGCTCTTGTTGAGATCATCATCTTTATGCTAGTATCATTGCAGTCATATATGTTTTCTTCCCCGGAGTTTGATTATGTATTTCGATATCTCGAGGCAGAGCAAATTGGTGCCATTGTACGTGAACAAGAGAAAAAAGCTGCCTGGAAGACCGCACAGCTGCAGCATATTCGCGAATCTGAGGAGAAGAAACATCAGCGTAACTTGCAAGTAGAGAAGATGAAATCTGAGATGCTCAATCTACAAATCCAGCTTCATAATATGAACTCAACTGTTACTTGCGATGACACTTCCCCTGTTAGTGAAGGCTTAAGGAGGAGGAGGAGTGCTTCTCTTAATTTGAACATGGGAGCTCAGAACCTTGATAAAGAGGAAGATGTTGTCTTGAAAAAACATCTACATATCAATGCAGACTCAGAATTCCCTTTGGAATTGCATGAATCTCCTACTCATGTAAAAATGGAAAGTTCATCACCAGTGAAATCAAGAAAGCATTTGATGGAATCACCTCTTTGTGAGATTATTGAACTTGAAGAGGATGCTGCTGATGATGGTGCAATTATTGATTCAGACAAAGAAAAGAAAGTTAAGGGTGAATCAAAGGAAAACCCATTAATCTCTGCTGTGCAGCTCATAGGTGATGGTGTTTCCCAAGTACAGTCTTTTGGAAATCAGGCGGTTACAAATCTTGTGAGCTTTCTGAACATCGCGCATGAAGACTCAGATTCAAATGAGCACTCATCTACAGAAGATGGGATATGTAGCAACATAGAGACCCAGAATATGAGGCACATATCCTTGGATCGTTCATCTTCTTTGCAGTCTGACAAGAGTAGAACCATGTCTGATGCTGCAAGTTTGCAGATCGGGAGGATCTTCCTTCACATTTGGTCCCAGATGTGCTCCAATAATGATGTTGTGTGTTATTGTTGCTTTGTTCTCGTCTTTCTCTGGAATTTCAGTTTGCTTTCCATGGTCTATCTTGCAGCTCTCTTCTTGTATGCTCTATGTGCAAATGCTGGGCCAAGTGGCATCTTCTGGGTTATTATGTTGATCTACACAGAAGTTTATATTTTGCTTCAGTATCTTTATCAAATCATCATCCATCACTGTGGATTGGGCATCCAGTCAGACCTACTTTACCAGATAGGGTTTCCCACACATAAAATCACTTCGTCATTTGTTATCAATTCATTGCCTCTTTTTTTAGTCTATTTGTTTACCCTGTTACAGAGTTCCATAACTGCAAAAGATAGTGAATGGATTTACTCGACAGAATCTGATTTTTGTAAGGAGAGAGATCTCTATCCAAAAGCGGTCTTTTTGAGTTTGAGCTGGAGTAAGAGGGCACAAAAGCTGCTCGAACAAATAAAAAATGTGGTGAAAATGATAACTATAGGTTTTTGTATGTACTGGAAATCACTGACATGTGGAGCAGAGTCTCCTCCTTACTTTGTCCAGCTGTCTATGGATATGGGTGTGTGGCCAGAAGACGGGATTCAACCAGAGAGGATTGAGTCTGGAATAAATCAGTTGCTTAGGATTGTGCATGATGAGAGATGCAAGGAAGAAAACCCTAAAGCTTGCCATTCTGCTAGTAGGGTTCATGTACAAAGCATTGAAAGAAGTGCAGAAAACCCAAATGTGGCCTTGGCTGTTTTTGAGGTGGTTTATGCTTCCCCATTAACAGAATGTACGGCTGCAGAGTGGCACAAGTCACTAACTCCAGCAGCTGATGTAGCAAAGGAGATTCTTCAAGCACAACGTGCAGGTATTGTTGACGAAATTGGATTCCCATACCCAGTACTCTCTGTAATTGGAGGAGGGAAAAGAGAACTCGATCTGTATGCCTACGTATTTGGTGCAGATTTGGCTGTTTTCTTTCTGGTTGCCATCTTTTATCAATCTGTCATAAAAAACAAAAGTGAATTTCTTGAGGTGTATCAGCTTGAAGATCAATTTCCAATAGAGTTCGTATCTATTCTAATGGTAAGTTTATAATCCTTCTGTTTCTGTTAGTATTCTGTATTATATATATACACAAAAAATTGAAATAATATTTTGTATGTATTGCAAAATGGAATTTATGAACTTTAAAGATTCAGCTGATGATCATATCTCTTTGGACTTTTCAGAATAACAAGTATAAGCCAGATGACTGTCCTAATTTCTTAACATTTGCATCTTGACTATCCTCGTTTTGAATCTCACCAATTTTGAGTCTAAACTGGATTATGTCATTATCTTGTGGAATGCTGTATGAAGACTAATGTCTTCATATGATTTCATATGGGCAAAGAGGAATATATATTTTTGGATAGAATAATTTTATGTAGATCCATTTTGAGTCCCTGAATTGGGACGTTGAGGACAAGTTATGATAGTGGTCAATTCTTTGCAACATAGTATGAGGTATTTTTGCTTGGAGGACATGGTGTCTTTTCTAATTTTTAACCATTTTTAATGCCTTCTTCATGCAGATTATCTTCTTATTGATAGTGCTTGATCGCATTATCTACCTCTGTTCATTTGCCACAGGAAAAGTGATCTTCTACCTTTTCAACCTCGTCCTTTTTACATACTCTGTTACCGAGTATGCTTGGCATATGGAGCTTTCCCGCCAAGAAGGCGGAGGATTAGCACTTCGTGCTATTTATCTAACAAAAGCAGTTTCTCTGGCACTGCAAGCCATACAAATCCGATATGGGGTTCCTCATAAAAGCACTTTGTATCGACAGTTTTTAACCAGCGAAGTTTCGCATGTTAATTATTTTGGTTACCGAATCTATCGTGCTCTACCTTTCCTTTATGAATTGCGGTGTGTACTTGATTGGTCTTGCACAACCACATCATTGACAATGTATGACTGGCTGAAGGTTAGTTGCTGCAGTTTTTCATTCTTCGCTAAATTAAAATTTTTAAAATTATCTAACAAATCATCATTGCTTCGATTGCCTCCCTTTATTGTCATCATCATTGATTAGAATTATTATTATTATTATTATTATAGTTGTTGTTGTTACTTTTATTAGTAAGGTGCAAGATAGGGCCCCAAAATTAAGAATAGAAGAAGAATCATTTTAGAATGTAAGTGGATTGATGGTCCAGATCAGGTCAACCCTCCGCCAAGAGGTACATTTGGCCAGTTAGTGTGAACCCTCAGATCACCTCATATTTCTAATTATACCTATACTATTTGCTTCTGTTGTACTGCTCTGTCCCACTCTATTCCCATGATATGTTAACGGCAGAGCATTATGTAGGATTCTAAAAGGCTCTGTATCAAGACATTTTACAATATATTTAAAATAGAAAAAGATTTGGATGCTACTCCATAAGTGCTTCCATTGAAGCTTATATGCTTGTATAAGAAACAAACACATAATTTATTAAGGAAATAGTAATCTGTTTTCGTTCAGAAATGCTTTCGCAGTTGGAGAAGTGCCAAACTTACGTCACTATATACACCAGACTGACTCATAATGATGGCAATAGATATTTTTTACTTACGTCACTAATTATGATCAAGCGAGCAAAGAAATTCCAATATGATATTTTGCTTTCCTAGATTTTAGCAAACTTCCTCAATAGAGCTTTACTTCTCTGTCAAAGACTCCAAACTTTAGTTTTTTTTTCCTAGTACACACATTCCAAAGTTTTAGCTGTGCAACTCTTGATCACAATTCTGTAAGTTACTAAACATTGTTTTAAATACATTAACACCTTGGATATCTTCACAATTCTTCTGTGGAACGATACAGGATTAAGGACATGTAATGTATCATAATAATATAACCTTCTGTGCAATAACTTGAAAGTTGTAATTGAAGTTCAAGACTAAAAGAAACTATTTTATACATCAATATCTAGAGCATTGCGAAAACATTTTTTTATGAAATACTTATACGATGTATTCTGACATGTGCTGCACAGGTTGTATTTAGGTTATATCAGAATTACATGCCTGAAATTTGTAGGCATACAGTGAAACATGTTGAATAAAAAAGTGAAAAAAAAATAATAATAATGCTGAAGGTATGTTGCGCTGGTGGACATAATTGTAAGCCACATTTTTGTATAAACATGCAATGTAGAAGCGTAAATTGTTTGAAACATATATTTCCATCATAGAACAGAACATTCTGTATTATATAGCGTCTTGGGGCATGTGAATTAGATTATCGCATAAGTCGGAAGGATTAGGAGAATTTATGCAAAGAAAATGAGATAATAGCTAATAATTAGTTATAATCAATTTCTTAAAAAAATGTCTCAGATATGTAAGTGTGTGATGTTAAAAGTTAATATGTAGATATTTTTACGAGAAATTACATTTCATTGCCTTGAATTATGATAGAAAACTGCCATATTCTCAATTACATAACTTGCTAATGTTGTGAACTTAAGATATAAAATTTAGTGCAACTGTAAAAGAGTTGTCCCCTCCATTATAATTTTACTGGTGTTAATGTAGCTTTTAGGCCCAAATTCCACTCTCAGAATTCCAAAGCTATGTATTTCATCTTTAGCAACTAATTCTTCATTTCACTTCAATTATCCTAAAAAAAATTATATGTAGTCACTCTCTCATTAATTTAAAGGATATGCAACTTTCTGATTTATTCCTCTAGTAAACGTCAGAATGGTTAGCTTTGCACTTATTGTTCATATATATGTCATCGTGTACCCTATGGTACAGCCAATATGTTATACATATCAATGATTGCATTGATTGCATGTTCATTATTATTATTGTACATATATAATTGTACAATATTGATAATAGTTCTTATAACCACTGGAACTTTAGGTCAGTTCTACATAGTTCTTAATGTTGGTTGTGGACCATCATCACCAGATTATTGATATTTCATACGGTTCCATTACTGCTGCCCATTCACCTACTGACGGTCCAAATCCATCCGTTATAGTAAAGCTTTGTTGGTTGTTTACTCTATTGACTAAATATAGTGACGTTTTAATGTGAAAAAGAAAATTAGGGGGGAAAAAAGCTTTTGTCATAGTTTTTAAATTCACTGCTGAAATTCATAAAAATCATTATTATGTATGTCAATTCATTGAGTCAATGCATGTGTATTAATTTGATCACATGCAACGTCAAAATTGTAGACAAAATGAATTTATATCAAGAAAATTGAGAAATTTTAACCTCAAGAAGTACTCCTGAGAATCCTCTATTGGACTTCAAGGCTCTGCCTAGTTTGTAGATTTAGCGGGAGAGGAGAAGACAATATAAAGGAAGTAATTTATTCCTTGTCTGGTTACCAGGTAAAATGAGGAAAACTGAATATAAGAAAGGTAAGGGAAAATTTTTAGTTTTACGTTTCGTTTTGCTTTTCTTTTTGTTAATTGGTAATCACAAACCATTTTTGAGAAATATTTAGTTTCTGATCTTATTTAGGCAAGAGAAAAAATACAAAGGAAGTCATCTTTCCTTTACTTTTTCCTTTCCTTTCTCTTACTCTTTCCTTAATAAATCCGCAAATCAAATAGAGCCTTAGTGAGATCCATTTCATCAAGTACAAGGATTCATGGATGTGATTCAAATGGCATGACACCTTCTACTTCCTTACAAAATATTTCCACTCATAAAGTAAAACATCAATGGTTTCCAATTCATTTTCTGAAGTCATGAATATTTTTTATATATTTGCCAAGTTTGTCAACAGTAGAAGTTAACTGTCCAATTATCTATTTATCTTACCACTTCCACCTTGAATCAAAGTTTGTAATTTTCAAATTTGGTTTGAACTTGGGTAAATTAATATGGTATTTGTTGCTGCTGCTGTTTCTTTCTTTTTTTCTTTTTTTTTTCTTTCTTAGTTCCCTACTTGTACAATGGTTCCCCCATTGATGTTGATGTGCAACTAATTTATATGATAAGCATAGATCAATAGCATAATCACTGTGGCCAAGTTATTGTGTCTGCTTCTTCCACTCTGTCCTTGAACACAGAGCTTCATTCTGATATATTTTGACTTCCTTATGAAGGTTTGCCAAGTTTGATTCCTTCGCACAAGAAGCCATTAGCATGCAATAAATTCTTAACTTGGAGACACACACCATCATGCTCTCTTTACACCCTAACACCCTCAAATCTCTCAACTAGAGTACACATTTTATTCATTACCGACAACAACAACAACCAAACCTTTTTTTCCCAACTACTTGTGGTCAGCTACATGCCAAAATAAAAATTTGTGGTTTATAACGTACACTAAAGTTGCACGAGCTCATTTTTACTTTCAATTTGTTTTAGGACTGGATAACTAAAGAAGTGTTGGTTGAAAAAGCCACTGAGATGAATAGATTGTTTTTAGATCAAGCTATAGTAAAACGAATTTATGAATCAAGTGTTAACAACCACCTACTCTAAAAGCTTAAGCTTTTAGGTCAGAAAGTAAGCGCCCAAACTATTGCAGTTGGCACGGGCTGGGTGCTTCGCGATCTGACCCAAAAGCTTACTTTTGGGTTAGAGGCCAAGCACCCTACCCATTATAGTTGGTTCAAAGCCGTACTGAGTCCTTGATCCGGAGAATGTCATGGATTTTTGTCCCACATCGGATCTGGACAGGGATGGTCTTGGGCATATAAGGTTGGGTGTTAACGCAACCTAATAACTTAAGGTTTTAGAGTAGATGGTTGTTAACATGGTATTAGAGTCAAATGTCTGAAGTTCAAACCCCATCGTCAGTTCGTCACCATGATAATTAAAATTGAAAAACACGTATTGGACCAAAAGAATGTCATATGTGAGGGGGGCGTATTAGAGGATATAAATATTAAAACTACACCCTCTCTAATAGCTTAAACATTTGGGTTAAAGGGCAAGTGTCCGACCCATAACAGTTGGTATTAGAGCGGGCCTAATCCTTGATCCGGTGTCATGTCAAGCGCCACACAGAGGTATCTGGGTTCTTACCGGGTCTATCGTCGTTGTGGTGGACAAGTAGGCAGGGTGGACCAGGACGTTGCGGGTTTGGGTGGGGGAGAATCTCATTGGTTCTTGTCCCATATTGTAACCGGATGGGGAGGGTGTTGGGCATATAAGGTTGGGTGTTAACACCACCTTAAAGGTTAACCTTTTAGAGTAGATGGTTGTTAACATGGTATTAGAGGCAAATGTCTCCATTTTAAACCTCACTGTCACCCTGACAATTAACATTGAAAAACACGTGTTTGACCAAAAGATTGTCATATGTGAGGGGGTGTATTAGAGGATATTAATATTAAAATTACACCCTCTCTAACAACTTAAAACTTTTAGAGTAGATGGTTGTTTACAAGACCATCAACTTACAGGGGGAATTGGCTTCATAATTGTTTGGGGGAAGTCACCCGCCAAGGGAAGTGTGGAATTAGTGAAGTCAAAGAGGTGGCTTGGTTGTACATTACTACTCTTGGTTGATATTGGGTCGGTATTGTATAATCTAGTATTTGCACTGGCCAAGGATGCACCAGTAGTCTTTTATGTGAAATTGTTTGAGATTTAACTTGTTTCAGATCCTCACCAGTAGCGTATTTGTTCTCCTATGTGAATCTTGTTCAGCATAAAAGGAAGGGTTTATTATACTTTCACCCATTGAAATGGAATTTTTACTCAAATGCGTTTTGGGATAATTAAACAAATCTTTGGATTTTGTTATGTTTTCTGTTTTACAGCCTGGAATTTAAGGAATTAAATACTTCTGATCTTCAAAATCTAGATACTTCTGATTGTTGCTACATTAATTAAAATGAGAAATCATTCTACACTGATCAACTTATTATTTGAGATTGTATGCTGGTAGAACACTAAATGAATCAATACTATCATTCTCTAGTTTATTTGGATATTGCAACCATGCATAATGTTTTAACTTGAAATTAAACGGTTAATTTTTTTTACTTTTTATACAAATTTGAATAATGTCTATGGGAACATCAATTTTACACATACCCTTTTTTGGATTTTTTGTTGTTTGGGAGTGTTGTTACATCATGATTTGCTAAGATACTGTAGTGAAAGTGTTGCCCATTGGTTCCCTGTCATCTCTGCCCCACTAAATAATGTGAGTGGTCAAGTTTCTTTTATCCGTGAACCACCATACCAGTAAGCTTCAAAATGTGACTTTTAACTACAATCGTGAACTTTCATTAATATTGATCTCTATATTTCATGACAAATGTGTTGGAGTAACTCTAAATTGTGATATTCAGGCCTCTCCAAGCACAGTGCTCTCTAATGAAATACTTCATGAAAGTAAAAAATGAAAAAGGAAACATAATATCCTGTAAAATCATCAGTATCATTTGGTGTGGTAAACGTTGTGGTCATTCTGCTATAGCATGGAGTAATATGCTAAAAGATGGCTGTATAGTTTGTTATGGAACTGTTTTAATATTTTAGTCAACTCTTTATTTGGTTAATTGTCGTGACATGTAAGTTGTGGGATAATTTGGATGTTTACTTCTGAAACTAATATTTGGCTGTCTATCTAGTTGGAGGATATAAATGCAAGCTTGTACCTCGTCAAATGTGATGCAATCTTGAATAGAGCCAGTCATTTGCAAGGAGAGAAGCAAACCAAAATGATCAAATTTTGCAGTGGAATATGTTTGTTCTTCATATTACTCTGTGTCATCTGGGCTCCAATGCTGGTAAGAAATCTGGGAAACAGTATCTACTGATTGCATCATTTTGTAATATTTGTAGTCCTTTCAAGCAGAGTTGTAGAGTGTAGCTTCCAAAAACATCGGGTATGTTGTATGCAGTGGCCTGTTTGTCTTTTGATTTGATCATAGATGTAGGAAACGCAGAGACCTTTTGGGTGAATCTTAATAAAAGGCTTTTAAATTGAAAATTCTCACTGGCATTGCCTTCTGAGTTGAATGCTTGATAGTTTCATGTCATGTAAGTTTGTGGAAGTGTAGCAAGTGAAACTCTCTCTCTATGATTCTCAATTCAAAAAAAATCATTTATGTGCTGCATTTGTAGGTGTACTAGTTGGTGACCATCAATGGACATTAATAAATCTAAAGCCTCTGTAAAAGAGCAAAGCAACAGTTGGCTTGGTTGCTTAAATTGTAGTTTTCTGATGGATAATTGCAAGGGTTGTATAAGGATTATTGCATAGGACAACTCCCCCAGTCAGGAATTTTTTTGTAAGAACAATAGCCAAGTTAAAAGTCAGCGCTTAGAAATGTAACTTAAAGAAAACTTATTCTGTCGCTTGTAAGTTTGCAACCTTTGAGATGAATTTTCTGGAAAGGAGAATATGCTGGCTTGAAAAGCTCTCCCAAAAGGCTTCCAAGCTCTCCAAGTATAGCAAGAAGGCCATCTTCAATTCCCCTCGGGATCCAGACCAAGAGTGTGCATTCTTGTCGACAAGTATGCTAATAGCGAACAAATAGGTGATTCAGATCTTTTGTTTATGGTAATTTATCAAGGCTTCAAAGAGCAAGGATGATTTTTACATGCCCCAACCTGTTGAACCCCCCGTCCCCTGCCTGCGGGATATGCATTTTCCAACTACATGCATATAGTTGGTACTTGATTATGTTTATTTATTTATTTATTTATATTTTTTTTCAAAATAGCAATCCTTTATCAAAGTAGATAGATTCGGTGGGTTGGCTTGTTGAGAAAAACCATTAATTGTAATGTAGAAGTTCAGAGACTCGCCCTTGATCATTTTTAAATTTCATTAGTTTAATGCCATTTATCAGAGGTGAAGTGTGTATTTCAAATTAAAAACATGTGCAATGCATTTTAATTTTTTGGTCTTGTTAAAGACTGGTGGAAAACTATTTGAGGGTTTTCCAAGTTCAGAACTTAAAAGTATTTAAGGGAGATTTAACGAACAGGGACTTTTTTGGTTCCTTGGATATGGGGATGTGGGGATGGCTTGCTGAATTTTGATTTCTTATAATCATAAGTCTTGGATTTCGTGGATGTGATAGAGGGTGATAGAAATATGAAGTTTTTCATGCCAAGTCAATTAGTGCTGGGAAAGCTCCAGCAAAACAGTGTTTAAGGTGGGCACTGTGTTAGATTGTACCAAGAAGTAGCTTTTAGGACAATTATTATTACAGAGATTAGAGCTTTGTTCAATCAAAGAGTACTCAAGGAATGACTAGAACAATTGTTCTGGAAGAGAAGTGGTGAAAGCTCTGGTGAAGTTGAGTTGGAATAAAGTCCCCAGTAAAATGTGTTGAAGTGGCTGGTAACTTGGTAGTTTTATCTTCTCCGATTCTAAGATAGGGGTTCAATGGATCTGTTAGTACTCCGCTCCAATTAGTCTAATGATGAATTATGTATAAATTCATCACGCTATTTGCTCAGAAGTCAAAGCTGGCAATTGGGTGGTATTATCTTGAAATCAAAACTCATCTGTTGGAACCCCAAGGGGTTGGCCTACTTGGAAAAGACTTGGGGCTTGATGCCATGAAGCATCAGGTCTTGGGATTGATTCCTCCAAGGTGCAAACAATTCCTTTGGGGCCACGACCGCGGACATAGTCCGAGCTTTACTGATCCATGTGGGGGGTCGCCTTGCACGGGTCTTGTAGATTAGTTGGGGCAAACCCACGGATACCCCAGTTTCCGAAAAAAAAATCATCTGTTGGGCCGTTAGGTTTTGATGGGCTGCTTAGAAGTAGTAAGCATATGAAGTCAAGGATGTAAACAAAATTTGGAGGATGATTTTGCAGTTATGCATAGATTAGGCTTATTATGATTTCTGGAAAACGGGGGGTTGGCTTTCATCTTATAAGCTGTTTCCTTGGCGTTGTGATTGCACTAGGTTTCTTAGGTGTTGGGATTCTCTCTTCCATTTCCTTTTAATTTGGTAAGAGGCTTTGTGTAGGTTAATTTGTTAAAGGATGTTGCAACTTGCAATTGGTCTTCCGGAGGAGGAAGCTCTGTAGGAATCATTACCTGCTTAAAGCATTCAGATGATAATATTATATCTTTTGTTAGTAAAAAATTATTAACTTAATCTTAATTTTTTTTTCCTGCTTTGACGATGCTTTTAATCTCAAGATTAATTTAGACAACAGTCGATGGGTGTGATTAGGAATATAATGTGATTGGTAGTTAACCTAGGTTGTGCAATTAGGAGGTTTTTTTTTTCTTCTTTTAATTATCTTATTTTCCTTTCACTTGGAGCACTTTTCAAGGCTATGGAAAAAGTCTTGTGGTTTAGTGCTTTAAAGAGTAGATGGATATCTCTATTCAAAGGAAAAATGATGTTGAACACTGGAAGTATTTTATATACTCCTCTTCCTCTGCATCTTTCTTCCCTCTTGAGGTAGTAGTGCTAGTTGAAACAATGGAAAGACCCGATGTGATTTTGTATGTCAAGAGGAGAAGTCTAATATCAGTTGATAGATTGGTTATCCCATGTGTACTACAGAGGTTAGAGATTTTGGGTGCATGGTTGTAGCCTTTAGGTTGCAGCGAACAAAGTTTTTCTTGAGAAAATGATGCAAACGTTGTTTCTATAACCCACAGGAATTTCCTGAGCTTGGATTACAAAGCTTCTGTGAAACACTTAGAAGCAATTGACGAGAACTGATAGACACCATGGGGCCTTGGCTTGTTTGGACTTCGGAATGCTCAGTGGAAACAGTGTTGGACTGAACTTGTAGTCCTGTAGGCTTGGGTCATGCCTGCTATATTTTCAGTCAGTGGCTTATACAGAAACATTTATACCTGGATGTGTTTAGCCAAATTTTATTCCGATTTACATAGTCTGATAATTTTTTATGTTCTGCACTATCGTAATGCATGGTAGACTTCAATGAGAACATTTAGGAGTACCTTCGCTTGAGATGACAACTCCTTTTTGTGCCAATGTGTATGCAACTTAGGTTTATAGGTGTGAGTTGGGGAAATCACACTAAACTAATAGTAGAATTTATATGAAGGTAATACATGTGATAACAAATATTATTTCTGCAAACCTTAGCATAATAATCAACTTTTGAGAACTCATTTCTGCTCGTCACTTTCCAGAAAAATAATTCATTGGGTGCTGATGAAGCTTTTATTTTCTTACAGATCTATAGCAGTGGTAACCCAACGAACATCGCAAACCCTATTAAAGATGCCAGTGTTCAGTTTGACATTAAAACAGCGGGTGGAAGGTTGACCTTGTACCATACAACTTTGTGTGAGATAATCCCATGGGATAGTCTCAAAGCAGTTGTTGGTATTGATCCCCGAGGTTATCTGGATACATATGACAAGAATGATATCCAATTAATATGCTGCCAACCTGATTCTAGTACATTGTGGCTTTTACCCGATGTGGTTCTGAGCAGATTTATTCATTCCCTTAACGGGAGTATGGATATCATTTTTACTTGGGAACTTTCCAGGGACAGACCTAAAGGAAAGGAACTAGTGCAATTTAAATGTGTTGATCATTGGGATCTTCCAAAGCCATCAGAAGTGGAGAAAGTTCTTAACGGTTCTAGCAACAGCTTTAGGATTGCCAATATTTTTCCGAGATATTTTCGAGTTACTGGTTCCGGTGAAGTGAGACAATTTGAATTGGAGGTATCTGAGTATCTACCTACCTTTCTGTGATATATGAATTGTCTGTCTCCCCCCTCTTTGACTTCTAACTAAACTTTGTTCTATTCTGTTGTATTAATATATGGTTTAGTGATGCTGTTATAATGTCCTAGTCACAAATTATAGATGTACAACACTGTTGATAATTGTACCTATTAGGGTAATTTACCATTATAACCATTGTTATTATGTTGTTATTGCCATTCCCCCCCCCCCCCCCCCCCCCCTCTCAAAAAATAAATTTTTTTGTTTTCACCCAATAGGAGTCGAACCTTAGACCTGATGCTTCCTGAGATATCATGACCAAGTGACTTGCTATAACGGGTGGACGCTTACCCATTTACCTAAAAACTTGGGTACTGCTACATACTCATCCATTTATACCCATGTCACTTCCCATCCGGATCCGATGTGGGACAAAGTCTCCCCTTGTAACATTCTCCCCCACCCGAACTCGCAACACCCTCGTTGCGGTCGGGCCACCCTGCCTACCCGGGCAGCACACCTGGACGCCTTCCGGATCGGGCGTTTGGCGTGACACCGGATTACGGACTGGGTCTAACTCTGATACCAACTATAACGGGTGGGCACTTGCCCATTTACCCAAAAACTTAAGCTATTGGGTAGTGCTGCATATCCACTCATTTATACCCATGTCACTTCCCATTCGGATCCGATGTGGGACAAGTCTCTCCTTGTAACACTTGCCCACTTGAGTGAATCCCTTGGGGCTGTTTATTGCCAATATTTATATTTTTTAATGGTTAAAATTCTATTTTAGAGGAAATACCAATACAAGTTTTAGTGGAATCATTCTTAATAATTGAAAAGAAGATGGTTACTGTCATAAAGGTATATAATTGCCAGTTCCCTCCATTATTATTTTAGTTGTTAGATCAGTTAGTTATTAAAACCCCATACTATTATAATTTACAGGCAAATGATGTTAGCGCCGATCTTGTTATAAATCATGGGAATCCTGCGTGGTGGTCCTTCCACGATATCAATTCGTTGGAGGTAAGTGAATGTGGAGGTTTGGCAGGACCCATTGCCATCATCGTATCTGAGGAAACACCACGTAAGTTTCAGGAGATATTCATGAAATATTAAAATGTTGAACAAATAGGTGATGTAATTATTCTAACAAGTTACTCATAATCCTTGAGATTTGTTTCAGAGGGATTTCTTGGGGAAACTCTTAGCAAATTCAGCATTTGGGGACTCTATATTACCTTTGTGCTTGCAGTCGGTCGGTTTATCAGACTTCAATGCTCCGACCTAAGAATGAGAATCCCTTATGAGAACCTTCCTTCTTGTGACAGGTAACTGTAACTTTCTTTTTGATCCTTAATCATTTATTTTCCTGAAGGGAAATGACATTCACACTCCACTATTGTATACTTGCACTCATTTGCTTTTCTTTAATCGAGAAAATGACATAATTCACTCCACATTATACCAAAAGGTACTCTTCCTCTCCACTTTTAAGGGCTAGTTTTGTCATTTCTTTTATTGATAAAAAAATGTGTGGTGCAAGTGTGCAACATTTTAGTTCCAATAACATATCATGTTCCTAATAATGATGCATTATGATGAGAAAATGAGTTATGGAGAATCTGTATTAGGAGTTTGGGACTAAATTAAAGATGTTCTGTTCGCCAGAATTTATCTTAAACACACAGAAAAAATGGTTTAATATATTTTTATTAAAAGGTTTTGGTCAAATTTTATGTTCAAGCTTGAATATGATAAACAGAAAATATTTGAAGGTTGTTACAATTAATGTATACTTTCAGACACCCAGGAAAAAGAAAAATGTATACTTTCAGACTAGAATCTGAACATGCATGTACTATTTGATACTACAAAAACGGAAGAGATTTTGGAATTTCCAATGTTTAAAATAAATAAAAAAAATCTGCATAGTTAAGACAACACCCCACGGCCTAATTCATAAAATGGAAACCGACAAAGAAGTTGCGTCATTTTTTGAGTAAATTTAGCAATATAGCATCCTCATCTTCTGCTGCAAACAGAAGATTCCCAGAATTTCCAGATATATTCAAAACCTTACACTCATTATCTTCTCAACTTGTTGGTTTTTGAAGGTTGATTGCCATTTGTGAGGATATATATGCTGCTAGAGCAGAGGGTGAGCTCGGAGTCGAGGAGGTCCTCTACTGGACGCTTGTGAAAATTTACAGGTCACCTCACATGTTGCTTGAGTACACCAAACCTGATTAGTTACATGTTTCAACAACTTCACAGGGATAAATACTGACATAAGGTTTGATTTAGCATCCAGTTACATTGAATAGAATACTGACCAATTGAGTAAATTGCTAACCAATTGAATAGAATACTAACCAATAGTGAGGAATCTTTGGAGGGTCCTGAAAAGCTCCACAGTCTACCAAACTCTCTGCTGATAGTTTTTGTTCCATTGTTGGAGAGTTCCATGTTCTCCCATTTTGTGATTCTCACACATGTATGTAAGTTTCAGTCTGCAAAAGTGTAACTTCCGGCTTCATTTAAAGATAAATACAGTATGTTTTTTTTCCTTCTCGATAACTTTTCTCTCATTTTTTTTCTTTGTATTTAATTATTTTACTTTCGTATTCTTTTGTTAAAGAGAATGACATGCAATTATAGTGTAAAACAACCTTTTTACAAATATATTGATTCTATGCAATTACATTTCTTTTTGTCCTTATGATTGAAATTTCAATCGCTAAATGGGATGATGAGTGGAACCAAGCTGAGAGGGTGATAATCTTTTTGTTACCTTTGCTATGCAGCAATGAACCGTGAGATGGGTTGAAATGTAAATTATGCAAAACTGAAATGGTGATTCTAGTTCTATTGTTCAACTATAGACATGAAGGGTGCAGGAATGAAACGATCATTTTCGTCCATGTTTGGTTAAATTATTTACCAAGGGCCTATTTGGTATGCATTTTGTTTTTGTCGGGTACTATAACAATGAATAGTGAAAAAAAACGTATTTGGTAAAATGTTTTGTTTTGCACAATACCAACACATTTCGTGAATGGTGGTCAAAAATCGAAACACCAATTTGGTGTTTGTTCATGCTTTAGCATACTTGTGATGAAACGATCAATTTCATCCATATTTGGTTAAATTATTTACCAAGGGCCTGTTTGGTATGCATTTTGTTTTTGTTGGGTACTGTAGCAGTGAATAGTGTAAAAAGAATGGTGGTTAAAAAGCAAAACACCAATTTGGTGTTTGTTCATGCTTCAGCATACTTGCGATGAAAAACTCTCAAATGACACTTTTAAAGTAACTATTATATTTTTCAAACTTGCTATATTTTTTTTATCAAAAATGTTTTCATGTTTTTACTTCCAAAGGTCTTGCAACAAGTAGACGTTACTAAAAGTGCTTTTCGATTACTCTTCAAAACACTCAACAACAAAACAGGGCTCAAATCAATTTCAATGCTCCATTTGAGTCTTGATTTGTTCCTGGGAACTTGAGAAAGATGTCATCAAATGTACATTTGAGACTATTTTTAATTCTATTGATGGAAAGAAATGAACATTCAAGACAGCCTTTTTGTAAGATAAATGCTCTAATTTACTGGGCAGTATAGTCCAATTTTCACAATTTTCTTCATCAGATAGTGATTTTTCTTATGCTGTGTTTGGAAGTACCGAATGGGCACTTGACATTGCAAAATGTTTGGGAGCATCAACCAACCGGTGATTGGCGCCCACTCGGTGCTCCCAAACGCAGATCTGATTCTTTCAAGGCCGATTCCTATGTCCAAGTATGTACATACACATTGTAACTCCTATACTTCAAACAGATTGAATTAACTTCAATCAAACTGAACCAAAACCCAAGATGGGCTTGATTTGTTCTGGGAACTTGAAAAATGTATGTTCAAAGATCTGTTTCGAGTCTATATTTAATTCTATGATGGAAAGAAATGTTCATATTCCTTGTCATGGAAAGAAACTAAAAATTCCAGTCAGCATTTTTTTATGAGTAATAATTACTAATAAAATAGGCAGAACAGCCCAATTTTCATCATCAAAGTGATTTTCTTCAAATTCTTTCGACCAAAGATTTTACCTCCCAGACTAATCTAAGGCCAATTCCCATTTCCAAGCATTTATATGTACACACAAAAACACATACATAAGCGAGCAAACACGCAAACACAGATGGAGAGAGAGAGTGTGTGTGTGTGTGTGTGCACAAAATACATATTAATTGGAAGATTTGAAGTCCACAAAAACTATAATACTCCAACTAAACTAATCTCTCAAATATGGTCCAAAAGAGAGAGAGTCAGTACACTAACCGGTTTTAACTCTCTTACTAGCTGAGCCCTTTCTCTTAGCTGTCTGAGGAACAGTATCATCCATTATTTTTGGAGTCCAAAACGAGAAGTCCGAAACAGATAAATCTTTGTATTCTGGATTGCTTTCTATAAAAGATGCTACCTCAGAAGGGCCTCTCACTTTCTTTCCCGTAGGAGTAGTATAATTAGCATCAAATTTAGAGTGATCTTTTCTAAGCACCAATCCCCTCTGAAACCCTGCTGGAGTCTTCGGGATGTTTGGCTTGTCGACGACCCACATTCGAGTGGCATCATACTCGATATCAGCAGGATCGTCACAAGAAGCATTGGGTTTCTTGTGGCAGAAAAATGGATCCTCCACAGACCTACTTCTGATGTCCTCAAACTCTTCTTGTGTAGGTATCACCCGCCATTTAAAACATTCCCCGCACTGTACAGCATAAATTCCAATCGAGGATTGCCCTGCCTCGGCCTCGGACTTCTGTCATGAGAAATTAAAATACATAAAAAAAAAAAAACTCTCGAGATTATAACCAAATCTCTTAGGCCTTTGACTAGAGTTACAGGACAAAGGATTTCCAATATATTCAAACATTTTTGGTTCTCAAGGCTCTGTTTGGATGTCGGAAAAAGCCAAATTAAAGAAAATGAAATTTCTAAAAAGTACTATGAAAGGGTCACCATTTTTAAGCAATTCTCCTTTCCTTCTCCCAACTCCCGTCCGTTTCTGAGATCCAAACGAGAGCCAAACATTTTGACAAGTATAATGCAAAGGTACCAACTATCAACATAATGATGTTTCAAAGGCAACAAATTCAACCATGAGAACTGAAAAAATTTGTACTACATATTGAGCCATTTGACTAGCCATGGAAATACTAGGTAAAATTAGCACTGCAAAGATGCTGATTGCAAATTTGTCAACTACCCATAGAGAGAGTATTGGCAAAAAAATAAAAGTAAAATTGGACTTTGAAAAGTTTACAACTAGAAGTACATGATATACAACAACAATCAGCAAGCTCTTTTAAATGTAGGCATAGGCAACATGGAAGGAATTATGTTATCAACAAAATTATAGTATATACAATTTTCAAAAAAATGGACACTTTTTCCCGCTCATTAAATCACACATATCACTACCCGAGTATGAAAACACAAACTATTCAATCCAAAGCACATGATTTGTAAATTTAAAAGACAATAGTTACCATCCCACAGTTACATAGTTGAAACACCATACCTAGTCATATCAACACACAAAACACAAATTTATTAAATTGCATGATTGAAGGTTTTGTTAAATTATTTCCCATTCTCGAGACAACCAAATAGAGGGTTGGTAAATTAAACAAACTTAACTATCAACCCAATATGATCCGGCACTTACGAAACATTCTTTATTGTAGATTTTTTTGCTGCCATTGTGTGTGAGAAATAGAGAGATTAATCATCTCAAAATCAAAATTCCTGTAAAAATAATGTCAATGAGATTTGTATCTTTCTATAATACTTTAGTCATTTTTAGAAACTTTGTATCTTTCTACAATACCCTAGCGGATAGGAGATTTGATGATTTTTTCTATTTAGTGATCTCTTGTATATAAAGCCATTGTTATCATGTTCTTCAAGTTCAGCAACAATCTTCTTCTTAGAGAAACAGTGTTTTCTCTGTTTTCTCTTTAGCAACTAGATATAATCAGATTTCGGTAATTTTGTAACAAATGTTCTCAACTGCGTCTCCGGTATTGTATGTTTCTATAATACTCTAAATAATTTTTAGGAGAATTCATACTCTTTAGCAACATGAGGGTATCTTTCAATAATAATTTAGCCATTTTTAGAACAGATTTAATTACTTTTTTCTGTCTAGGGATCTCTGCACATTGTTAAGTTTTGACAGTGGGGACAATTTTTTCTGTTTTCTCTTTAGCAATCAGATTTTGACAGTTTTGTAAAACCGTATATATAATCACCCTACAAATTTATCTCTCTCTTTCTAATATGAATTCAAAATTCCATAAATCAAACCCTAACTCAAAATTATATAAATCAAACCCTAATAACATACCTTCGAAGTTTTGTGACCATCCTTCATTTCCAAGCTGCAGTAGAATCTCCCCCTCTCACGATTTCTTCAGTTCTTCATTTATTTAAGAGAGGTGACGGAGGTTTTGATTATTTCGATGCCATGTTCTGGAAAGTGCAAGAAACTAATAAAATATTTACACGAATCCCAAATTTTATAAAGACAGAGTATGGTCTATCTCCTCTAATTTAGACGTCCGTGTCACTCCGTACAAATGAATATTGAGTTATATTAAAAGGTCTATATTGCCCTTTAAATATATCTAAAATTAAATCTGAATATGTATTAGAAATACCTGTACAGAGACATAGAAGAGTTTGTAGTTTGTGTTGGACCGGCAAGATTCAGAATGTTATTAGTGTTCATTGGGTGGTTTTTCTGAGCAGTGAGATATGAGAATATCATCTTTCATTCTCTCTGCAACAATGGGATCACTTAGACCACACAATATTATACTGGCTAAGTTACAAAACAGTGTGGGATCACTTAGACCACACAAACTACAAACTCTCTCTGCAACAATGGGATCACTTAGAATATCATCTTTCATTCTCTCTGCAACAATGGGATCACTTAGACCACACAATATTATACTGGCTAAGTTACAAAACAGTGTGTTTTTCCAAAATTTCGTTTTAACCCCAAAAGCCTATCAAATTCCATTTTTGCCCCAAAGGTATAATTAATTACACATCAAGTACAACCTATAATTAATGCATATAAATAATGTTTGTGTTGGACGGGCAAAATTCAGAATATTATTGGTGTTCATTTGGTGGTTTTTCTGAGTAGTGAGATATAAGAATATCATCTTTCATTCTCTCTGCAACACTGGGATCACTTGGACCACACAATATTATACTGGCTAAGTTACAAAACAGTGTGTTTTTCCAAAATTTCGTTTTAACCCCAAAAGTCTATCAAATTCCATTTTTGCCCCAAAGGTATAATTAATTACACATCAAGTACAAACTATAATTAATGCATATAAATAATTATAATAAATAAATATATATATATATATATATATATCAATACACTTAAAATATTAATTTAAAATATATAATGACTTGCAAATAATTAAATAAATGCACGTAAATAAAATAAAATAAATTCATCCAAAAATAATTAATTAAAACTCATTTAAAATTTTTCTTAAAAGTATGGGGTATTAAATTATATCAACTCTTATTTATTTTTTCTTAGTTATTCAATTCCCCCTCTTAATCCCTTTAAAATGTCATGTCAAATCTTATTTTTTATTTTTTGGGTAATTTACAATTACCTCCCCTGTAGATATATCAAATTAAGCCCGCATCCCCCCTAATTTGCATAATTTCGGTTACCTCCCTTAATTGTGGTCGGCATATATATCCAGTTACCAGAGGTATAAAATTACTTTTCTATCCCTCGTTATTAAAATGCATTTTTAATCAAAAATATCTTTAATGTAATTTTACTCTTATGCCCTTAACACATTTCTCTATGTCAGATCGAATCAATGAAAGGTTAAAAGTTAAAACACTTCAACATTTGCCTCATGTTTCACAGCAACATACATAAAAATAATAATAATAATAATAATAATAATAATAATAAAATAAATAAATAAATAAAAATTGAGAAAGTAGAAACATGGAGACTGAGAACGATTAGGTTTTTATTTATCACTTGTTCATCAATTCATATACAAAGATAGTGATCCTCCAATAATAATACATAAAAAATCATGTGGATTTTCATGTATGTGTGTTATATAATAATAATAACATAAATGTGATATTCCCAGTCTCTTTTATGATAACATTTCCTTTTTTATTTTATTTTTCTTAATTCAATAATAAAAATATACTTAACACTTGATTTTTCTATTTATAAATTAAAAACACTGATTTTATGTTATTTTATTTTAAAAGTAAAGTTCATCTATAAAAGAAAAAGATTTACACATATCACTTCCTTATTAAATAATACTTTTTATTTTGACTAAGTAAGACAAATAATATAATTTTGAATAATTAGACAAACATGCACATGCAATGCACGTGTTGAAAGTAATTGTAAAAACTTATTTAAAGTTACTTTGGTTACAAAATGTCTTTAGAGACGGAATTTATAAATTATTCTTACAAAAGATCAGAGCAAAACTAGACTTCTAGCCAAAAAGTTCATTATAACCAAAATCAAGAGTATTTTCATTAATTTTGTGATAGTATCAATCAATTTCAATATAAATTTTTATATTTATTTTATTTTTAATATTTATCCCATATTCGGTCCTTAATTTGATTTTTTTTATAAGTCATTAATTCATTTCACGTTGACAATTTTACTAGGCTTTAGTTAAAATCGTTTTTTATATTTGTTTGCATTATTAATATTTTCAATTGAACATCCATACCCTTCATTCTTGCAAAATGTTATGCAAACTATTATTTATTTTTTCTTAATTGATACTCAATTCCCCACTCCAAAACCCTTTAAAATGTCATGTCAACTCTTTTTTTTTTTGGTAATATATATTACGTTTGCAAATATGTCAAATTACCTGCAAATATGTCAAATATTTTGGTAAGGGAGGTAACCTGCAAATATGTCAAATTACGTTTGCATCCCCTTAGTTTGCATAATTTCAGTTATCTCCCTTAATTGTTGTCGGCATATATATCCGGTTACCGGAGTTTTGAAATTACTCTTCTATCCCTAATTATAAAAATACATATTTAATAAAAAATAACTTCAATGTAATTTTACTTTTATATCCTTAGCACATTTCTCTATGTCAAATTGAGTCAATGGAAGGTTAAAAGTTAAAATACTTTAATATTTGTCTCACGTTTCAAAGCAACACACAGAGAGAAAGAGAGAGTAGAAACATAGAGACAGAGAATGATTAGGGTTCTCTTCATCACTTGTTCATCAGTTCGTGTACAAAGGTGAGGGTGCTCCAATAATAATACATAAAAATCATATGAATTTTCATGTATGTGGTATATAATAATAATATAAATGTGATATTCTCACTCTCTTTTCTAATAACTACATTCCCTTTTTTATTTTATTTTTTTAATTCAATAATAAAAATATACTTAATACTTAATTTTTCTATTTATAAATTAAAAAAAAAAAAAAACAGATGTTGTTTCATTTTAAAAGTAAAGTTCATCAATACAAGAAAAAGAATTACACATATAACCTCTTTGTTAAATAATATATATATTTTTATTTTGTCTAAGCAAAACAAATAATAAAATATTTGAATAACTAGCCAAACATGCATGTGCAATGCACGTGCTGAAAATGATTGTAAGAACCTATTTGAAGTTACTTTGGTTACAAATTGTCTTTGGAGACGAAATTCATAAATTATTTTTACAAAAGATTAGAGCGAAACTAGACTTAGGGCTAAAAGATACACTATTACCATAATCCATAATATTTTCATGAAATTTGTGATAGTATCAATCAAATTCACTATGAAATTATATATTTATTTTGTCATTAATATTTATTCCAATTTTGATTTTTTTTTATTTATAAATTGTTAATTCGTTTCACGTTGGCATTTTTATTAGGCTTTTGTTAAAATCGTTTACTATTTTTTATTTTATGACTGTTTCTAATTGAATCTCAACATTCTTCAATCCTTTAAAATATTATGTCAACTCTTATTTATTTTTTCATAATTGATATTCAAATACCCTTTCTTAATCCCTTTAAAATGTCATGCCAACTTATATTTTTTATTTTTTTTTTGTGTAATTTACAATTATCTACTTTGCAGATATGTTGAATTACGACTACATCCCCCGGTAGTTTGCATAATTTCGGTTACCTCCCTTAATGATTGTTAACATATATATACAGTTACCGGAGGTATGAAATTACTCTCCTATCCCTCATTATTATAATGCATATTTAATAAATATATATTTATATATATATATATATCTTCAATGTAATTTTACTCTTATGCCTAAGGCTGTAAATGAGCCGAGCCGTTCGCGAATGGCTTAGGCTTAGCTCGTTAATTACTCGGCTCGCATTTGTTTATTTAATAAACAAATCAAGCTCAAGCCGAATTTTGAAACTCGGATTATAAGCAAATTGGGTTGAACATCAATAGACTCAGTTCATTTGTTCATGAACCGTTCACGAACCAGGCTCATTGATGCGTTCACGAACATAACCAATTATAATATATATATATATATATATATATATATAGGTAATTTACATAAACCTCCTCCCCTATGGTTTGCCATAATTACACGGACTTTCCCTGTGATTTGGGAATTTACTTAGACCTTCCCTAACAATGAAAATATTTTTCATAGACCTCCCTTATGTGTGACGAATCGTCAAATACATTAATGGACCTGTCAAAATTACTAAAATACCCTCATGTTGTTATCTTAAATTACTAAAATACCCATAAGCTTTTATAAGAGTGACGTCATATATGTATATATTCTTTTCCGATTAGAAATCCTTCTTCTCATTTCAAGATCTTCACCTGTCTGATGACCATATTTTTGGCCAGAAAATTCAAAGACGTCGTCTACTCACGGCCGTTCTCTTGAAACCTCACAGGACGACTTCGCTTTCGCCTGCGGGTACGCATCGAGTTGGGTTGCAGTTAGGGTTAGGGTAAAGTTTGGGGCTCGGCCATGTCTAAAGGAAGAAGAGGTTAGGGTTTCAGAAACAACCTGGTTACAGTGAAGGTAATCTTGTTGGTGTCGAAGAATGGTGACGTTGACTCTAATAGAAGGGAGGTATGTGTAAGATATTTTCATTCTTAGGGGAAGTCCGAGTAAATTCCCAAACCAGAGGGGAGGTTCATGTAATTATGGCAAACCATATAGGAGGTTTGTGTAAATTACCCTACACACACACACACACACACACACACACACACACACACACACAAAAGTATTCAACTTTTATAACTTATGCCTATGTGATTCAAAGTCTTTTTTCGTATCAATCAATAAATTTAAATACAAAAGTATTCAACTTTTTTTAAATCTGCCACCAGTGCCCATGCGCATTTGTGATCCACACAGCCCTTTTCTCATCAGCTAATAACCATCCTAGACTTTCCATTCTAAAACTTGGAGTATTTAACGTTTTTAAACATGTTGCCAGCCTGCGTACCCATGTGATCCACACCTTTTTTTCTCATCAGCCAACAGTCATCATAGTCTAGAACTTAGGTTGTTTGACTATCCACGTGACATACACTGATACACAACAAAATTGAAACCCACTCTTCACTCTTCAATTCTCATTTATAGATCTCATATTCATGATTTATCTTACTTTCTCAGTTTCTCTACTCACACAACTGGTTCAGTTGCTCGTTTTGCCCCACAACAACACCGATCATCTTCTTTGTAAGTCAATTTTTTTACTTTCTCACTTCTTTTATTTTTTTTCTCAAATATCTTTACAAAAATTGGGTGTTTTTGCTTGT